TGGCATGTTGATTTTGTATGAAAGATTAGTTGTTAACGGTCGAACATCTAACAACCTGTGATGCATTCACATTTCATTTTGATTCTTATTCATTACAAAACTCATTTCCTGTCGGTTTGGTTGGTTAAGTAGAATGAGAGAGAGAGAGAGTGAGAAAGAGTAGACCACAGGTAAACCGATGCTTCCTGGTTCACTCACTGGATACTAGTAAGTATTCCACCTATATTTATTGAAACTATTGATATTGATAGATTATTAAGCATATTATATATTCATGTATGTGTATATTTGTTTCATTCATAATTAGCCTTAACATATCCACATGAATAATTGAAATTGTTTTATGCATTTTCAACTTTTAAACCAAAATACCAACAAAATCATTAGTTTAGAAATGTGAAATATACTCTTGATTTAGTTCAAAGTAACAATTGTCTATGTTGTATTTTCAATTCTTAATAGTTCACATGTCTTGTTCCAAAACCATTTTCTTTCATCTTTATTCTTGACAATTGTTAACGGTTCTTTTAATGAACAATTTGAATAGTAACCACCAGAGATTATGTTATCTGACAACACTGTATACAATGTAGTTTGTGCTCCTTTCCATGGACCAATAAAGAATGGCTTTATTACTTTAACGAAACATTTCTAAGGAAGAGAATTTTGATAAAAATATGAACAAGATTAATCTCGTGTGTTAAATGAGTTTGTAAGTATCAATGCCAATGTTGAGCTTAATAATCTGTGATAAATTGAGCATTGAATAGGAAGTTATTAATGAACATAGTTTTTGTTATATCGGAATGAGATATACAACTAGAAATATATTTATCATCAAGTATTAAGTTTATGTATTCAAAATATTCGAATATCAATTTCCTTCAATATTATAGAGCGATATTTTGGGAAAGGTCCAGGGGGCTACAGACATGTGGTTACATAATGAGTAAATGCTAATAAAGAAGAATAATTTGAGTAAAGCTCATTTAATTCGTGGATTGGTTGAAGTTATACATTAAGACCGTTGGATGCCGGCTGGCTCTATGGTCTAGAGGTTATTCGTTCACGCGTGAGATCTATAGGTCCTGAGTTCGAATCTCGTGAGGCGGGATCGTGAATGTACACTGCTGAGGAGTCCTACACTGGAACGGAACGGCTGTCCAGTCATTCCAGGTTTTTCATGGTGATCTAGTTTCAATCGACTCATGAATTCAACTATTAAATTAAAGTAAAATTACTGTTCTTGAAGACAGTCGAAATAAAGAGATATCATCATGTAATTAATTGAAGTAAAGAATTGGACAAAATTTTTATTGTGTAATAAAGGAATATTTGTCACATAGGTATAGAAAGATTAGCAATTATCTCCTTTAATACACACAAATAGGGTTTCTGATACCTGATAACACCGGCTTCAGGAAACTAGAAGACTGGAGCTTGTTTGTTTATTAATTACATTGAAACATTACATGGTATCGACCTGATATCCTATATCCAAGAGATGTTTAGTAATTGCGCTGTTTAAAGTAGTTCTCTTTTGTTCGAAGGCTTTTTGGAACATGTTCAAAATATCTACGACATGACCTCATTTTTGTCCGACCAATTCAACTGCTACGGCAGGTACTCGTAAATTTAAAAACACAGTTGGTGATAACATATAAGGGGTGCTGGCCGACCTTTGTTTGTGTTATTGAACATGTTGTTTTATGCAGTATTAATAATTTGGCTGACGTGTATGTTTTGGCTAATTCATTATTAGACAGCCTGCTGATCGGTTTTGCGACATCATCACCTGCGCAGTTGAAAGTTAACGGTACTGGTTTTTTCTTGACAGTAGTCACACCCTTCTTTTTTACATTAATTTCCTTCGATTATTAAGGCATCGATAGCGTGAATTGTTGGAATTCAGAAGAATTGATAAAAAAGAGAACTGACCAGTGGATAACTATCGAAATCGGTTACATCCATCACTCATTCGAAAACGTTGGTATTCAGTATTCAAAATACAGAAATCAGCTGGATCTAATCGATCTAGTTTTGAGAATGTGCTTGGTTTTAAGATTATATTCGTTTAAATAGATTTTGTTCAATCATCACTTGATGGATTAAAATGTGCGGCGAGACTATAATTTATGGAGGAACCAATCAGATTTACGATAACAGGTCACGTCCACCACTCCTACAATGACGTAGTGATCAGGGCTGCATATCGTGGTGAACCAACCGGGCTATACTGACTGCAAAAATCATTCATCAAGGTCCTTCCATGTTAGACAGGTCGGTTGAAGAACGTATGAATAAAAGCAGCAAACACAAGGTTTGAGGGTGAAGTAGTAACGCTGACCGTACAGAAGAGTGACGGCAGTAAGGTTCTCCCTTCACACAACCAGCATGACAACGATGCTGCACTCCCACAAGGAACGGTGAGATTAGAATAGGTTGACGCTAATGATGCACACCTCACCTTATCCCACGAATGTCCGTTAGCTGGGTTATCAGGTCTCAACAAGTACGAAACTAACACAAAATTCACTCACTAAGTGGTTGTGTATGACCGGTCACAAAAAATGTTGTCCCTTAAGCACTGCAGTCACGCTCTCACGTCACTAAGACCAATTGTAACCCGGTTTCTTGATCAGGTAGCTCTAGAAGAGGATAAGATGTTGTGGATTTTGGTGAGAGATTCATTTATCCATTTAGTTAGAGAGTATTTCGACATTTTATCTGATGTTAGTTGGTGATGAAAATCACGAAATCTAATTTCTGAACATAACCATCAACTGTAAATCCTAATTGTAATTCATCACACTTGTTTTGTTACCCTGAATTAGATCTAGTGAGTAGGTGGACATTATCAAGTTCACCTTAAGTGTCACTCAGAGATCTTCCATAAATTATAATCTCATCACAAGTTGATAATAAGTTGAAACACGAAAATATTATTTTTCATTTAATTTAAACAGAACATGTGAGCGTGAATATGTTGTACTAATTTTCCACAATGTGAATTTGTTTAAATATTTTCTAGTTCAATTTAAAATAGAATTTCTATCATCACAAATAATATAAAATGTTTTAATTTTGTATTTTAATAAAAACAAACGAAGATTGAGTCGTGGAGTGAACATCAACTCTTGGATGCAAGTGCATCCAGCTGACGAGTGTCGAATGGGACGAAACACGCGTCCTGGATTCCACTGCTAGCCACTATTCATGTTTATTTATAATACTTGTAAATTAAGGTTATATTGAGGCAGTCCGCACTGGATGTACATATACCAATAAGAGACTGACCAGTCTCGAATAGGACGAAACACACATCCTGAATTTCAGTGTTAGCCACTATCTGCTTAAAACGTTTTCATATTGTTTGTTCTTGGTTCAGGTTTTGCTTGTTGATAAATTGTTATCAAGTTTAAACACAACTAACAGCCGTCATTTGCATTATTGTATGTTGTAATTATTCATTATGTTACTATTACAGAAAGCTTTTTTATTTTAGACAAAAAGACTCAGTAAACACTATAGACAACTGACAAGTTGAGGTTTGTAACTCATTTTTGTATTCTATTTAATAAGGAATAGTTATTTTAGACAAATCACTATCTTGTAAATTTCGATTTTGAGCGTATCTCAATTAAGTGACTTGAACACTTCGATAGACCTAACAAGTACAATTATCTTTTCGATATTAAAGATCTGTTTGTGTAATGTTAAGTTGTGTTTTACTCACTTTCAGGTTAATTGCATAACAACATATTCTAGTGTGATATTATTCCAACTTCATTTAATTTAATTTAAAAATTCAAATATAGTTAATAGATAAAATTTAAATAGTTGAAATCATTGGTCAATTGAACCTAGATCACCATGGAAAACCTGGAAGCACTGGACGGCCGTTTCATGCTAGTATGTGACTCCTTAGCAGTGCGTGTCCACGATTTCGCCCCGCTAGACTCGAACCCAGGACCTATCAGTCACGCACGCGAATGCTTAACCATTAGATCACTGAGCTGGCACCCAGCGGTGTTAATGTCTAACTTTAACCAATCCACGAAATTGAGCCACTGTACACCAATGTCTTCAGTCTACCTTCAATTAACTTATGATTTCAACTATTGAAATTACTAAGATCTCCGCAAAACACCTTCTGATAATAATCATCTGCTCACTAGTGGACTTCTAGTTGGAAGCCGTGACCAGCGGAGTTCAACCAGGTCTGTTGTGAGATATCAGCTCACTGAAGACAATGTTGTACAATGGCGCAATTCCGTGGATTGGATGAAGTTAGAAATTAACACCGTTGGATGCCGGCTCAGTGGTCTAGGGGTGAAGCGTTCGCGTGCGAGACTGATAGGTCCTGGGTTCGAGTCTCGCTGGGCGAAATCGTGGACACGCACTGCTGAGAACTCCCATACTAGAAGGAGACGGCCGTCCAATGCCTCCAGGTTTTTCATGGTGATCTAGCTTCAATTAACTCATGATTTCAACTATTGAAATTAATAAAATCTCCACAAAACCTCTTCTGAAGATAAAATTTAATTCAGTAAATGTTCAGAATAAACTGACTTTTTATGTATTAAATATTTATATTATGTTGTAAGTATTTGTCTAATTATCGGTTTTGTATTAACTAATATATCATTGAACTTAATGGTAAAATCTAATTTGAAAGCTTTATTTATCAGACAAACGACCTCATCTTCATATGTTACATAGATTATGACCAAATCAAATACAACTATTATAGACCGTTGTAAACAATATGTAAAATCAATAAATAGACGATAACCACTATCTATCTTTGCTTATAATCCATATGAATTAAGGCAATATCGAGGTAATACGCAAATTATGCATATATACCAATAAAAGACTGATCAATTTCAGTGCTAAACATCAATGGGAAGATTCAAGTAAAAAAAAATACCAAATGAATATAAATTTCAATTATTTAATCTTCTGAGAAATCGAAATTCAGTACTGTGTCGTTTACATAAGTAATCAGGTGTTTATACTTTGGGATCGTTATAACTAAACTATTAGATTATCTTAAATTTTATATTTCATTTATAACTTGTTTTGTATGATCATGACAATGTTGATGTTAATTAGCGAAATGATGGGTATTTTTTTTTAACAAACAGATCGATAGGTTAAATAAACAATTCACAACATTATCCTAAATTTCAAGATTTCTCCTAGTTCTGTAGATGTGTTTTTATTAAGCTATTGATGTTGGTGGAGTTTTGTTCTCTGAGCTGGATGGTTTGGTCGTGGAGCTTTCATCGTTCTTTTGAATGAAATCATCAGCACAAACTTCAGATAGAAGTGAAGTGTTCGAATTTCTCCATATGCGTTTTACAGCTTGTTCTGTATACCTCGACGTTGATTGGCTCTTATTGACCTTAAATTTGTCATTGTTTACTTCTTTGTTTTGGTTGTGTCTCCCATTGGTTTGATTTTTGTTCCTATATTTAAGCATGATTTTCCTGATTGGTTGGTAAATTGGGTTGATTTCAATATGCTTGTTGATTGACCTGAGTGCCAGGCATCTAAAAATTCTCTGGTGTTTTTGGAGTTTCCTCTGTCTAAGATTTCCACATTTTTCCAGTCTCAAAGCTATTGATGTTTTTGTAATTACATCTGTAAAAGAAACTAGGCTACGGCTGAAAAAGCGATGGATATCAATGATTATAGAAGGGGATCACTTACCATTACACAACTATTTATATCTCGATCTAGATCAGTTTTTACAGCACCAGGATGTACACTAACAACAGTTATTCCACTGTCCTGAAGTCTATCACCTAATTCAGCAGCATGCATTGCATTGGCTAACTTTGAATCACAATATGCATTTAACTGATTATATTCATTCTCTTTTAACTGTAAATCTGGTTTAATTAAACGACCTTTATAATGTGCCATTGATGAAAGATTAATGATTTTAGATGGAGTTGAACGTCTTATCAAAGGTAATAATAATTCCGTGAGTAAGAATGTTCCAAAATGATTAACACCCATTGTCATTTCAAAACCATCAACAGTTTTCTCATATTTACCAACTGTAAGACCAGCATTGTTAATAAGAAAATGAAGTTCAGGATATGTGACTATTATACGTCTGGCAAATTCTCTAATTGATTGTAGAGAAGCTAAATCAAGTTGTTCAATAATTAACTGAAAGGTGAATTCAAAATTGAATGCAATGATAATAGGTACTATATAATATAAACTAAAATAAAACAGTTTCAATACAATTAAATTGTTTAAGTAATGATTTAAACAGATTTAAATCATTTTTGTGTTATGACCTTGGCTTTACGATTATCGTGAAATACGATTGCCATTTTAGATACACTGAATTATATGACCCAAATAATGACACACACAACAATACGGGTAGCCTCGAGTTCCGATTGGTATTTTTCCCGCCTAGTCCTCTGTTTGTTAAGTTCAGAACGCTAATCTCAGCCTCCGTGATACGAATCATATATTTCATACATACTTGGTTTATATACAAGAAAAACCAGATCGTAACACATCATAAAATAGTAAATAACATTTGTACAAGATCAAGCCAAAAAGTGGCCGTGATTGTGATTGTTACTAATAAATTGGGAATATCTTAAGAATAGTAAATAGTATGATAATAATCAATAGATCAAATAAAAGCTTATAATGAAAGGAATATGAATATACATATAATATAGTTACTTAATAGTCATACAATAACATTTACCGTTCTCAGGTTATGTCGAGTCTATTACAGTTCCCCACATTCACAGCCATTTTTGGCAAGATCTTGTACAGATTTTATTTTCTATTTTATGGTACGATATGCTCTGTTTGGTTTGTATATAAACCCAGTATGCTTGAAATACATGATTCATATTGAGGAGGCTGGGATTGGTGTTCTGGACTTAACAGGCAAAGCTAGGCAGGAAGAAGGATCGATAAGGACTTTAGGCTGTTCGTACTGGTTTATGCGTCATTGGTCCGGTCGATAATTGGCGTTATTATTACGTTATATATTAATAGGGCACAATGCCCTTAAGTTATAAAACAACTGACCAATGCTCTATGGTTTTCTCAATAAACTCAATCCATAATGTAAACTACCAAAAAGACAAAGTTCACATCTTCTTAAACAACTAATTCTTAATTTTAAAAAAATTACTAATTCTGTTAGAAGATATTATGTAATCTGTCAATCCCATAATTACAAATTATAACTCATCAATTAAATAAGACGAATCGGAGAAAAATATCTCGCACTTTCAATGTTCTGGTAAATTCCGCTTGTAGGAACTAACCGCCTTATTGATTTTTTTACACATTAAAAAGTTGTTTTTTCTAGTGAGTTTGACATACTTACACCTGTTACTCCTCGTGGAGGAGCATTGGCCGCTCACCAGCATTCTTCATCCAACCCTGTCATGCGCAATCCTTACCAGCTCTTTCCAGCTCTTATTCATCATTTTCATATCTGCTTCTATTTCTCGACGTAATGTGTTCTTTGGCCTTCCTCTTTTCCGTTTCCTTTCACGATTCCAAGTTAGGGCTTGCCTCGTGATGCAGTTTGATAATTTGTGTAATGTATATCCTATCCATTTCCATCGTCTTTTCTTAATTTCTTCTTCAGCTGGAAGTTGGTTTGTTCTCTCCCAGAGAAGGCTGTTGCTGATGGTATCCGACCAATGGATGTTGAGTATCTTGCGTATACAACTATTTATGAATACTTGTACCTTCTTGATGGTGGTTGTTGTGATTCTCCAAGTTTCAGCTCCGTACAGTATAACTGTCTTGACCCTTGTGTTGAAGATTATGACTTTGATATTGATTGGTCTGTGGACGACCGATCCCTACGAAATCCACACTGTTGATATCGAAGTTGGGCGTCTACTGCATCTTTCATCCAGTTTAGCAACACTCTATTGAAGACTTTACATGGTACTGACAGTAGTATGATGCCACTGTAGTTTTCACATTTGCTCAGATCTCCTTTCTTTGGAATCTTGATGAGGTGTCCTTCTTTCCAGTCCATCGGCACTTGTTCCTCCCCCAAATCTGTGTGTGTGCTGATTCGATGTCCGATGAACTCAATGGAGCTGGTCTATTCATCACTCTGCATCAACTTCATTGACTACGAGAAAGCATTTGATAACGTGGACAGAACAACACTATGAAAGCGTCTTCGACACTACGGCGTGTCTCAGAAGATAGTCAATATCATACGGAATTCATATGATGGATTACACTGCAAAATCGTGCATGGAGGACAATTGAAAGACTTGTTTGAAGTAAAGACCGGTGTTAGGCAAGGTTGCTTACTCTCACCCTTTCTCTTTCTCCTGGTGATCGACTGGATCATGAATACGTCAACATCTGAAGGAAAGCATGGGAAATAGTGGACAGATAGGATGCAGTTGGATGATCTAGACTTCGCAGATGATCCGGCTCTTCTATCCCAAACGCAACAATAAATGCAGGAGAAGACGACCAGTGTAGCTGCAGCCTCAGCAGCAGTAGGTTTCAATATACACAAAAGTAAAAGCAAGATTCTCCGATACAACACAGCATGCACCAATCCAGTCACAATTGACGGAGAAGATTTGGAAGATGTAAAAACCTTTACATATCTGGGCAGCATCATTGATGAACATGGTGGATCTGATGCAGATGTGAAGGTGAGCATCGGAAAAGCAAGAGTAGCATATTTACAACTAAAGAACATCTGGAACTCAAAGCAACTGTCAACCAACACCAAGGTCAGCATTTTCAATACAAATGTCAAGACAGTTCTACTGTCTACTGGGGCGGAAACCTGGAGAACTACGAAAGCCATCATCCAGAATATACAGGTGTTTATTACTAGTTGTTTACGCAAAATACTTCAGATTCGTTGGCCGAACACTATTAGCAACAACGTACTGTGGGAAAAAACAAACCAGATCCCAACGGAGGAAGAAATCAGGAAGAAGCGTTGGAAGTGGATAGGACACACATTGAGGAAAGCACCCAGCCGTTTTCCAAGACAAGCCCTCACTTGGAATCCTCAATGCCAATGTAGGAGAGGAAGTCCAAGGAACACATTATACCGGGAAACGGAGATAGACATGAGAAAAATGAACAAGAATTAGATGGAACTAGAAAAGAGGGCCCAGGACAGAGTGGGTTGGAGAATGCTGGTAGGCGGCCTATGCTCCATTGGGAGTATCAGGCGTAAGTAAGTAAGTAACTACACATTGGTAATTTTGCATCATGTTTGAAAATGTTCTAATACAATCACTAAGCTTAAAATTATATTTCAACTATTGATATTTATCTTAAAAATTAGTGATATGTTGGCAATGGAAATTTCATACTATACTGACAAATTCATAGATGTATAGTAGTTTATGTGAAATTGAGTTTGTTCACATTTAATTGGTTAAGCTCTTTTGTTGACTTAACGAATAGAGTCATTCGTACAATAACAACTTATAACATTTTGTATCATTATTATTGTTGCGTTTGTATGAATATGTATACTTGAGCATTTCTTACTGCCTACACATATTTATTCTGCTAGCTTTAATGTTAGTCTTTTAATTGATTCGATGATTCAATCATTTCACTATGTATATATAAGTACATTTTAATCCTGTTCATTGACTCGCCGACTCGCTCATTCGACTCTCACAGTCACTCGCTTGCCAGCTTGCTTTTTGGCACTATTCTTTCATGCTTTTTTAGTGTACCTATAATTTTGGTTATCTGTATGTGGTACAGTTATAAACGTAATCAACACTTCGTATTCACCTTCTGATTAATGCACCGTTTGGACATTATCTAGTGACGGTTATCAGGACGAACTGTATACGAAGTTTAAGGGTTATATTTAATACCAACCACTACAGATGATTCATTGTAACTAGAAAGATCTGAATCTTAGAATGGAAGAAGAAAATATTTGTATGACATCTTGTTACATTCTGATTTTAGTCAGGATTTTCTTAAAAATATCTTACATTTCTAATAAAAGTAATGAGTTACAACAAAGTATCTAATTAATTAATATGGTAATTAAGCTGTATTTATAGTGAGAACTAATTATACTCTAATAAAAAGGAACATTGCAATAAGTGAGATGTATTCGAATTAATCAAGGTCAATAAAGTGTGCAAGTTTAGATTACAAAATATTGGTAATATTTCTTAATATTTATTAAAGATAATAATAATAATCTATTTATGCTGTATTATACTTCTAGTACCTATTAAGTATCAGATAGTAGTCATCAGTAAGAGTTTGTGGAGAGTGTATTAATTGATTGAGATCACTAATTTGATCCAAATTAGACTATCATTGAAAACCTGTAAACATAGAATGACCGTTTTGTCCCAGTATGGGACTCGTCATCGGTAAGCAATCATGAACCCTCATCTTGGAACAGAAGCTAGGGCATTTTTTATCGTGCGTGAACCTCTAATGTCTGGATCATTGAGATGGCATCAATGTTATATATGTCTGATGTGTGGTAGTGAAAGTAAAATATGATTGGTCACTGGGAGTGAACAAACAAACACAACCTACGAACTACTAAATATTATAATTTCCTTTTCTCACATTGATGTCTACTCCGGACACGCGGAGACTGACTGCTTGTAATTCTGTTGAATGAAGTATTATATAGTCTATACTCTGGTTCTTTATTCCGGGTTGTGAATTCTGGATATGATATGACGTGGTTAGTCTCGTTATTGTATTAACATATTAACGAATGTCGATTTCACAACTTCAATATTTCAGGGTTATTTTGGATCTTAGATTCTAAAATGACATTTTTATAACAGGACTAACTTGATAGCTTTATGATTACAGGGTGACAAATAACTAACGTGAAAGAAAACCTTATTTACGGTTGAATTCGAATGAGAAACATATTGGTTATTAGCATTAGATTTATCACTTGATTTATCGCATATACTTGACAAATAATAACATAAACCAATAGCTAATGTTAGACTACATATTCAGTTTAATTCTGGAAATAATGAACTTACTTGATCATTGTAGATTGGACTCAACGATGAGATCACTTGTTTACACGCTACATCAATGTTCACACTCTGTGGATTAGTGGCACCATATTTCTTCAACAAACTATTTTTGGCATCTTCAGCTTTACCTATATTTCGACATGCCATGATGACTCGAGCACCACGACGAGCTAATTCACCAGCTGTCACTAATCCGATACCAGTGTTCGATCCAGTGACAATAGCTAACTTCCCATCTAATCGTTTTGAAATACAACATGATTTATAACATGTACCAGTGGTTTCAGACATTTACCAATATTCTATGTACTAGTTTAAGGTAATATGTTAAAATATATATGTATGTATCCATGCTTTGGATCAATGAATCGTAACCTTTAAACTGATTCACATTTAACCAATCAGCGTTTCATAATTTCTTTACTATAATATGGATTAATGAAAACGGACCGTAACTTTGTTATTACTGATACATAATTAATTTTAGAAATTTCTTTTTGTGTCCAAATTTTATTTCATTTCTGTTACTGATGTTTAAATTGGTGCATATAGCATTACATATTGTTTATTAATAGTTGAGTTGATGGGCATTATCATGTACATGTACCATTTATTGGCTGATAAATTAAATGCCTAGCTACTGCTATTAAGGTATATCTCAGTGAGTAGGCTATGAATTATATATTAAGGTACTGATATTTGTCTTGATTTAATGAATTCAGTCTTTCCAAAATAATTGTGAATGGAATTCAGCATGACTATAATTTATGGAAGAACCAATCAGATTTACGATAACAGGTCACAACCGCTACTCATACCTTGACGTAGTGATCAGGCCTGCCTATCGTGGTGAACCAACCGGGCTATACTGACTGCAACAATCATTCATCAAGGTCCTTCCATGTTAGACAGGTCGGTTGAAGAACGTATGAATAAAAGCAGCAAACACAAGGTTTGAGGGTGAAGTAGTAATGCTGACCGTACATGAAGAGTGATGGCAGGAAAGTTCTTCCTCCACACAACCAGCATGACAACGATGCTGCACTCAAACAAGGAACGGTGAGATTAGAATAGGTTGACGCTAATGATGCACACCTCACCTTATCCCACGAATGTCCGTTAGTTGGGCTATCAGGTCTCAACAAGTACGAAACTAACACAAAATTCACCCACTAAGTGGTTGTGTGTGACCGGTCACAAAACGTTGTCCCTTAAGCACTGCGGTCACGATCTCACGTCACTAAGACCAATTGTAACCCGGTTTCTTGATCAGGTAGCTCTAGAAGAGGATAAGATGTTGTGGATTTTGGTGAGAGATTCATTTATCCATTTGGTTAGAGAGTGTTTCGACATTTTATCTGATGTTAGTTGGTGATGAAAACCACGAAGTCTAATTTCTGAACATAACCATCAACTGTAAATCCTAATTGTAATTCATCACACTTGTTTTGTTACCCTGAATTAGATCTATTGAGTAGGTGGACATTATCAAGTTCACCTTAAGTGTCACTCAGAGATCTTCCATAAATTTTAATCTCATCACAAGTTGATAATAACTTGAAACACGAAAATATTATTTTTCATTTAATTTAAACAAAACATGTGAGCGTGAATGTGTTGTACTAATTTTCCACAATGTGAATTTGTTTAAATATTTTCTAGTTCAATTTAAAATAGAATTTCTATCATCACAAATAATATAAAATGTTTTAATTTTGTATTTTAATAAAAACAAACGAAGATTGAGTCGTGGAGTGAACATCAACTCTAGGATGCAAGTGCATCCAGCTGACGAGTGTCGAATAGGACGAAACACGCGTCCTGGATTTCACTGCTAGCCACTATCCATGTTTATTTATAATACTTGTAAATTAAGGCTATATTGAGGCAGTCCGCACAGGATGCACATATACCAATAAGAGACTGACCAATTGCAGTCCTAAACAACAATGAGAAGATACATGCAAACAACACCAAGTGAATTCAATATAGATCAATTCGACTTTACATAAATTATTTCATTTGAGCATATTCTAAAAGGTTAACAAACAAATGAATTGAAATAAACTATTTCCATTTTTGTATAGAAATATCAAATCATTAGTAGATAAGAATGAACAGGGACTTAATTGATGATAATATAAGTGACAGATAATTGCCATTTAAAACATTAAAATTAAAACATGAATTTCACCGAAGGGATCTCTTTTCAACCAATTTATTATCAAGCTGTACAATCGTATATATATGAAAAATTTTGTAAAAGTACTAATTCCGTGAGGAAATGTGAACACAGTTAATAAAAAGGGTTATAATACTAGATTACGTAATATGAATAATAACAATAGATGTAGTGAATATAATAGGATGATTAAAATGTTTTTGATATAACAATTAAAGGTCATAGAGGTGTACAAAAATAAAGTGATATGATGAGCGTTCATGAATAAAACAATGAGAATATAAGACATAAGTAAAGGGGGAATGGAGTAATAATAATAATAATAATAATAATAATAATAATAATAATAGGATAATCAAACTAATTAAGGCCAAGGTAACGATAACGATAAGACGTACTTCTTTTATACGCATAGTTCTGGTTTAAGCTCCTGGATGGCAAGAGCTTCGGTTATTTTTTAAAAAGTTCGATACGAAGAAATCTGGGTAGATTTGAACGAATCATATAAACACCCTAAAGTCAATTTGTGGATCTGTTGAATGGTTATAGTCGATTAGGTGTTCAAGTATAGTATAAGTGACATATGAAATCAATTTTATTCTAATTGTTTATGATATATTAAGACGAAGATTATCAGAACATTTCGAACAATCAGATCACACATACACTTGTTAAGAACATTGATATATAAAAATAAAAGGTCAACTAGACTAGAAATGGACGATAAGAGGAGACCAGGATAATAAAGAAAATAATGTGAAAACAATTTGAAACCTCATCACTCTGGATAATAAGCAAATATTCTCATCTTAAACCTACCCTGGTAATATTTGCTTATTATCCAGAGTGATGAGGTTTCAAATTATTTTCTTTATTATCCTGGTCTCCTCTTATCCTCCATTTCTAGTCTAGTTGACCTTTTATTTTTATATATAAATGTTCTTAATAAGTAGATGTGTAATTAGATTGTTCAAAATATATTGAACTAATATATCATCACATAGTTCTGATAATCATCGTTTTCTTATTACACTATTGAAATTTATCAAAGGGACTAATTGCTTTATGATTATATTAATTACATTTTGAGAAGTAACATTAATCTAATGATAATGTAATTTTATATTCAGACAGTAAATTCTTAATTAATTAATGTTGGGTACCATTCACTTTAACTCAAATAAATCTGAGTACAGACCAGCGTGGTTAAAAATCACATAAAAAATTAATTTGTTCAGATATCCATTTTATTTTAGTTTGGTTGTTAAATAAATTTTCTCAGAAAGAGGTTTTTGTGGATATTATAGTAATTTCAATGGTTGAGATCATGAGTCAATTGAAGCTAGATCACCATGGAAAACCTGGAAGCACTTGATGGCAGTTTCGTTCTATTTTGGGACTCCTCAGTAGTGAGCATCCATGATCTCGACCCCTGGGAGATTCGAACCCAGGACCAATGTTCATCTGATATTTTTATTTTCCAACTTTGGGTCGTAGGATTCATAAGTTCAACTGATCAGTACTAATTATTTACCATAAAAACAGCTCTTAACGTATTTCAGAGGGTAGAAAGAAACAACATTATCTGTATCAGTTTTTATTTTCTTATTTGCATTTTACGAATTGGAGTGATTTTTAGTTTCAAGTATTAATAATGATAAATTAAAAGATCATCATAGAATGAAACAATTTCATAGTTTTTTTAATAGTTGAATTCATGGGTCAATTGAATCTAGACCACCATGAAAAACCTGGAAGCATTTGACGACTGTTTCGTCCTATTGTGGGACTCCTCGCCAGTGTGCATTAACGCTAAATAATTGTTCAATTACATTGAAAAACACTGATGTCTATTAGATTATATATAGTAATAGATAAGCAAATGAAACTGATCATTGTGAGGTGTTACAAAGCTGAGAAAACGTTTAAATTGAGTAAACTTTATGTATACCAAAGGGATTTCAAGACAAAGTAGTTTGGAGTAGGACATTGTAATGTTATGAGAAAAATAAAAAAATAGTCTAATTTTAAATTTTATTATTTTTAAGATTCAATAAAACACAAGATCATTTGGTAATTCAGTTTGATTTTCCTTTAGTATAAAATTATTTGCACTAATTTAGTGTAAATTACGTCTGTTAGTTGAATATCATCGGTAACAATCAATTTTGAGAGAGAACAAACTAGTTTGTAGTTGGAGAGGAAATTAGGAGAAAACGTTGAAAGTGGATAGGACATACATTGAGGAAATCACCGGACAGCATCACGAGGCAAGTACTAATTTGTTATTGTGAAGGGAAACGGAAAAGAAAAAGACCAAAGAACAGATTGTGTCGATAATTGGAATCAGACATGAAAGTGATGAATAACAACCTAAATAAACTGGAAAGGATTATTCAGGACAGAGTTAAATGGAGAATTTTGGTGGGTGTTGTATGCTCCTCCATGAGGGATAACAAGAGTAATTAATCAATTAATTAATTAAGTAAATGAGTAAGTAAACTACTTTCAATGTATAACATACAAGATGTGTTTGGTTTTAATTTTTCGATTCTGTATTTTTTCTCTTTCTATTCATTGACTAGTCATCAAAATGGTAGTAAAATTTATGTATAATTGAGTGTATTTGTTTTAAATGGTCGTCATATGAGATGGTGGAGAAGATTTGTAGCTCAGGTGGATGATTTTGGTGGAGTTTTGTTCTCTGAGCTGGATGGTTTAGTCGTGTTTTATGAGTTCATCGTTGTTGATTTGAATATCCTTAATTTGGTCCAGGAATTGTGTTGGGGATTTGATGGAGTGTTTGGCTGAATCTACTAGATGTTTCAGTATTCGTGAAATTTCTTTTGACAAATTGTACGTTGGCGTTCCGACCAAACCATCCAGCTCAGAGAACGAAACTCCACCAAATGTGTCAGAAAGTGAATAAAATCTGCTCATACCATTTTTTTTGTATCTGCTTCATTGTATCGTGCTAATCTCACTTTCCCCTTGTTCTAAGTACTAGTTTTCTGTAGTTTAAACAACTACAAATAAATAACAATCTGTAGTGAATAGATGTTTTGTCTTATTTTATGATTGATTACATGCATTATTTCATACACGTAATATAC